CAGGCGTTGTTCTTCAAAGGAAAGGTCTTGGTTGAATACTGGGGGCTGGGGTTGGTGTTGTTGGATTCCGGCACGAATGCCGGAAACAACAACAAACGTGACCGGAATCTTCTTCCGGTCCGGAAAATACTGGAACTGCATGGAGATGTTTGGAATCTTCTTGAAAGACTGAGTATGTTTGTCAAAGGAATAGTCTTGTTCGTCACTAGGTCTTGGGGGTTGGTGGTGTTGCATTCCGGCACAAATGCCGGAAACAACTTCAATACCGAAAGAGACAGTACTTCCAGAGGAACAGGGGGGATCCAGCTGGGGCAAACTAACACMACCAGCTGGTTGATATCGAAATACTTAGAATAGGCTTGGTTACATTGCTTGGTTGCTTGAATGGAGCCAAGGAGGAGGATTTTCCCCTTCGGAAGGGGATGTCACCATGGTGGATTCGGAAGCCGGAAGGAGCTTGTCAGGTAGGAATGTACGTAGGAATCAGTAGGAAATCTAGGGGATAATTTTCATAAGCGAAGTGTAATTTCGTGCGTTTGAAAATATTCGATGTGAAAATTATACTAATAGCATTGTAGTAATACTAGTACTATGGCAAAAAATACTCTGTTTGAAGGACTGGTGGGTGGTGGTAACAATAAAATCAATTTTACTATTTGCATGCATGCCTCTACTAGTAATACAAAAAGGGTATTAATGACCACCATTGGATTATTTTGTATGCTGACAAAGGTTAATTAGTAAAGAATTGCCCAAATGTTGAGCTTCTTTCAACCCAAGATCATGGTGTGCTTACTGCTGGAGGAACTAACCACTAGGACTACTACTAGTAGTATTCAGATTGCTTTCAGCAGAGTGGTTTCCTCCCACAATTTTTTTTCATCTCCATTTCCCATCCCCCAACATCAAATTTAGCAACAAGTCCCTTAGTACTTGATAGTGGTACTATCTTCTTGCTTATATTAGTGGTCCTCCTCCTCCTCCTTAGTATTGTTAATAGTAGAAGTACAGGGGAGGTTATACTACTACTAGTACTATTGGCAGTGCCTACAAATACTAGTATGGACTACTAGTAGTAGTAGTAGTAGTAGTAGTAGTAGTAGTACCCGAGAATTTGGATTGATCCTACTGACTATGGGTGGAGAACCTCATCTACTACATTGTAGTAGTGCTGCTTACTACTGGTGGGATTAGTGTTCTGTAGTAGTGATAGCTGCTAACGGCTGGATTACTAGTGGCTTCTGTTGGTACTGTGAGAGTGCTACTACTAGTAGTAGTAGTAGTAGCAGTAAGAAGCACTAATGGAATTTCTTGTGATATTACTTCCTATGTTGTACTTCCTCTATCCAGAAATAGATGTGCCCTTTGCACCTCTAGTAGTGAAATAAGCTCAATATTTGGTCAATTGGAATGTTTCTTTTTTTGTTTAATGGATCTAGTATTATGAATGCATGCAGCTATTAAGATCATATTAAGTGAATGTCTCTGACATACTTGAAATAGCTACTGAAAGAGGGCTATTTTTGTCAAATCAATGTGATTTCACAGTCACCAGTTGGGTTCTAGTGGTCATTTGAGCACGTGAGTTGCACCTATTGTGGTACTAGAAAGCTAAGACTGAGAGCTCTTTCATGATATTCATACTATTATACTTATGGGAATGTTCCTGTATTGGTTATTCTTGTTCAAAAGAGGTGCACMATACTGTATCATTGTCAATATTTTGTTTCTTGTGCTAATAGACGTGTAATTTTCATGTACAAATATTTTTTTCACAACACACATAATGATTATTTCTAGTCTCTAGTATCCATTCTACTCCGTAAATTCAATTGTCAAACCTTTGAGTAAATAGGGGATACTCTTTGTATGGACACCCAAAACAGTCACAGGGTACATCTATTTCTGGATGGAGACTAGATCTCTAATATGTACTACCTCGTCTGTCCAGATATAATAGTACAGTTTGTACCTCTTCAGTTGAAATAAGCTCAATATTTGGGCAATTGGATTGGTTCTTTTTTTGTTTAACAGATCTATTATAAATGTATACTACAAGTATAGTAGAGATCATGTTAATTGAAAGTGTCTGACATACTTGTGGACTGTACCATTGTTGTCATTTAATTGTCTCACGTGGTGTTAATTCTAGACTGTTTATTTCATGTGCAAAAATAATTTTATTCATGTGGATGCTCATTTTTATCTACAGTACTGATTCTACGTGTTGTACACTTAAGTAGTACTGGACAATTATTTCTGGAAAAATTGAGTACTGCAAAGTGTACTATTATATCTGGACGGAGGTAGTAGTAGCAAATATTTGATTTTTTTTTGTGAAAATGACTTTGAGATTTTGCTAGTGTTTGTGTGGGGTTTGTCAAAAAACAGGCAGAATTTTGAATTTTGGTTCCAAGAACGAGTCAATTCAGAGTAAAATTACATCTAGAATTAACGCATGAGTTATTGCCACCCACTACTGTAACTTTGGCTGACTAGTTCTAAGCTGCTAGAGCATCCTTTGGCTTCTCGCTTTGTAGTGGGATGGAAGTTTTCTTGAGTTTAAGAACAGTACCGGTACGCAGGGGTCATAATTAAGAGGGGTGCTCATCACGTCAAAACTCATATTTTATGTTAGGCACCAGCAATAACAAGAAAAATTTCCCCCCAGCAGGGATTTTTTTCAATTTCATTTTTACTGCATACTAGTATCACTGCAAAAAGTGTAGTACCTCAAAAACCCCATGCACAGGAACAGCACTTCCAATCACTCTCTGACTTTCAAACTTCACATGCACATCTCTCATGTAGTTGAGAGTCCTCAAGTAGTAGTAAGTATATTTTCACTGTTATTGCTCTCTCCAGTTCAAACTTTAAGGTGCTGCTGACACAGGGCTTGCAAGGCTAGTGGTACTAGTAACAGACTGGTACTGTATTTGCAGTAGAAATAGTCTGTCCTTTGTCCAGCCAGCCCCACCAGTCTAGTCCTCAGCAAAAATTCGAACTGTCTGTCCTTCATCCGTTTCTCCAACTAATTCCCCAGTAGTAATTTCTACTAATAATCTAGTACTACTAGTCAATATTCAACAGTGCTGAAAAGGTACACTATCATTCCATTTGATACATAAAATATTGGCATATTCAGAATCCTCATGAAAAATTTGGCTAGATGGTGAACTCAAAAATTCTAATGGTAGTATTTTTGATAATGTTATAGCTAACTGCTTAAAGGTTGGATAGTTTTACTAGTATTATGCAGTAAAAATGAATTTTAAAAAAATCCCTTGGGTGAAATTTTTCTTATTGGTGCCTAACACTTAGCAGCAACGAAACTGCAACTCAACGAAACTGCAACTTTTCTACCAAACACTACGTATTTAACAAGTAATGGACTAAATTTGTACTTTAATTCAAATTAGTACTAGTACTACTACTAGGAGGACTACTACTAGTACTGGTGATACTACTAGGACCTCCTACTTATACCAAAAGTTTCAGCATAAAAATTCTATAACACAACTACCCACTGAACCCAACATGTTCATTAGGATGTTAAGACATGTTCTGCAAAAAACTAGGTCGTAATTGGATGCTTAGTTGCTTTTTTACACCACAATTAAGTTTGCAGTGTAGATTGTGCAGTTTTTTACATGCATTTAACACGTAAGGGACTAAATTTGTACTTAATTGCAAATTTGCAGTTTCGTCGCCGCGTAGAACATGGAATATGAGTTTTTCAAAAAATGCTGGAAAACACTGCACGTCTTCGCGGGCGTTGCGTTGCGCACCCCTCTAAATTATGACCCCTGCCGGTACGTACGGTACGGTACTGTATTGCTGTTTTTGCGGGATTGAATCAGAGGATCTTCGCATGACACGGGAAGAATCAAAGTCTCTTACGGAAGGACGTTTTGGGAGCGTTCGGAAAGTCTCAACGGTAGCATTTGGCGATATCATTGGTCTTTCTTTAAAGCGAGCCTGCACGGAGACTAATACTTCCGACAAAAACGCGGGGGCAATTCTGTTTTTAGGCATGACCTTTTGAATTGGGCACGCACCGAATTCAAACATTCTTTTTTGTGAATGGCCCGGTGTCTTACCGTACGTACGGTAGTACCGCACGAACCTCTGTTGCAACCGAAAACTGCACGATTGTCGTCTTTCCAATGTATCAGAAGAGGTATGTTTTGGAGAGGAGCTAGAATGCGCAGTCATGCAACAAATTGATCTGTATTTAGTTCAGCGTTGATGAATGGAAAAAATTGTGATACAGAACACTCGATGATACAGACCGTACCTGCCCCGGCTGAGAAGGAGACGATGGAAGCAGCAGCCCAAAATGAAGAGAAGTCCTCCTACTCGAAGCGTTCCAACGTTGTGGAGTTGTGGAAAAAGAGAGAGGGAACTATAAAAGCTGCCAACATTGCATCTAGCGAGAGGGCACGAGGCAACGAATGTGAAGAAAAAAAGGAAACAAGCCAGTGGGTTGACTTCGATTCTATACAAGACTCGAGACAGCAAGAAAAAAGTTCTACCCCACAGGGTGGCTCAGAGAGAAATGGACCAGAATCTTTTTCTGATGCGTTCTTTGATTGGGACACAGAAAACATGAATAATGACTTTACTGCACCTCGAAGGTCTAGTGTCAGAGACTCATGGAAGAAGAAGGCAGCGACTATTCCCTCGCCACAACCATCACCTCGTGTTGGAGTTACAAGAGACACAATATCTTTACAATGCGAGACTGGTGATCCCGAACCAGAAAGTGCGCCTGAGAGCAAGGAAATCCCACCCACTACATCCGGAGTAGTGAGGTCACCATCTACCGTAGTGAGGTCGAGCTCATTCAAATCTCCAGTAGTTAGGTCTAGCTCATTCGCAAATAATCGCATTGCTGGAAGTCCACAAGCGTCTGGCTCGTCCGCGTTTGATGAGTTAAAATCGAAATGGGCCAAGTTTGGGGTCCGCAAGCAGAATGAACAAGGAAACGGATCATCACAATCCACACAGCGTTTGAGTGAGTTACCTTCGAAAGTTATTGTATCACCTAGCGAACCTTCTCAAAACGATGTTGGAACGAAAGAAATTCCACAGATAGACAATGAACAACAAAAGAAAATTTCGGGCCACGGGTCTCAAAGCTCAAATGGCGAAAACGTCGGAGCAGCGAATACCAAAACTGCGAAACCAGAAATCAAGGAAACTGAACCACTCATGCCACCTCAGGCTTCGAATGACTTGAAAAAAAGTTTGTCTCCTTCATCTTCAGCTGCACGCCGATTGGGTTCAAAATCATTCCGATCGAAGTACGGCCGAAAACCGATTCCCTCTTTGAATCGTGCTACTGAAAAGGCAGCACACGACACTAAGAGCCCTACAACAAAAGAAGACCCGGGACAGAAGATTAGCAGTCCTCCCGTACAGAAAATTTCGCCTGATTGCTCTAAACCGTCAATTGAGAATCCATCTTTTCCACTTGACGAGTCGACCCAGAACGAGCACAATATGTCTCCAAGTTCGAACCTTTCCAAATCTTTGGGGCCGAATCTTTATGGTCGTTCTCGTTCTTTCGATCCAAGGTCAAAACACGTCAGCGCCCAATCCACCATGTATACCTCAGGATCAGCAGACGACTCAACAGTCATAAAGGAGGGATCAGCTACTGTTTCTCGATCTGCTCTCAGTTCTCGAGCTAGTCGAAGACTCCGTGATATCCGTCAGAGCCAGAGACAACAAATGCAAAAGAAAGACGCCAACGAAAATGCTTCGAAAGAAACCCTATCAAAAAGTCCAATATCGACCGATAAGTCCKGGCTCACTAGGGCAGAAACCAATCCTTTACTGGAATCTCAGATTGAGGAACCTGGTCGTATTCGTTCACGGACTTCGTCTTCAATACAAAAATCAAGAACGCAGGAATCACACGGAGGCAACACCTTCATTTCAGTGGAAGAGTCAACTACACTCAGCCCGAGTTTTTGTTCGGAAGGTACCTTTGGAAATTCACAAATGCGCTTTAATCACGCCACCGAGTTGAATTCTGGTAATGAAACCTCATTAGATTCCAAGCTTGGTCCAACTTCTCCCCTTCATAACGTTGTCCCAGACATGAACGATATGATACCTGACGAGTTTGTCTCTGAAAAGAATGCTAATTTCGAGTCTTTCAAGACGGCGTATGATAATACTAGCCTAAGCCAAATCGCAAGAGATATGACGGAGGAGGCAAGCAAGATATTTGAACTTGACATTCATGCTGCTATCAACAATTTGGGAGATATGTTTCAGAGCCAGTCGCCGAGGAAAATGGCCGGAAGAGCGCCTAGTCCGGTCGAGGAAGTCGCTATTGAGGTCGAGTATGTTGCTGATGATTAACTCAGACGAAAGAAGCACTTTTTGTGGTAAAATTGATTGGGATAAAAATGTCTGTATTTTGTTCCATGCAACTTGAATTTACGACACCTTGAAGTCGCTGAAGCAATTTTCATACTTAACTTTGATTTTATGCTGTAATTATTTATGTAACTTTGGTCGAGAGGTATTCTATCATAGAGCGATCCACATTAGCAAGGAGAGCTGAATCCAATACTCCTTGTTCTAATCCGTCGCGTGTATCCATCTTTGCTCCGTTTTGAATGAGCAACTCTGCACAGACGATCGCCTTTGAATCATCATCTTCGTCATCTTTGAGCTGAGTGCATGCATGCAAGGCAGTTTTGCTACCCTCATCAACATTAATCCAGGTTACAACTGCACCCTGGGCTAATGATCGTGCTATGCCCAAGACGTTACCCTCCTTCGCGGCTCTGTACATTGCCTTCGAAGCTATTTCCTCACGTTCTTCGGGAGTCTTCCCTTGATCATCGGAAACGTTCAAAAAACCTTTCCACAAGTATTTGCTCTTGATCCATTCTTCTTTCGTTTTACGATTTGAGCTCGCAATGGGCTTCTTCCAACCTTTTTGCATCAGAACTCCTTCTTCCCAAATTCCATTTGCGTTCTCGTTTCCAATGGCGAGAATTACATTTGCTTCAAACTCAGTCAGCGCGTCCAATTTCAAAGAACGAACCTTTATTTTCATAACAGGCAACCAAAGAATTTGTGACGTTGAATTAGAGAATGAATAAAGAAACAAGCTTGGATACTTCCACGATCAATACGTACCTTGCTCACGTGAACACCAAGCGATCTATGCACACCACTGCAATCAATGCATATTAGTACACCCAGATTCAAAGATACCCAGTCCGGATTTTCTGCCCCACAATCAGCACATGTTGGGTTTGCTTTCATGAGTTTAGGGGTCAAGCTTGTATTCTTCGCATCCAGTTCTTCATGGCATAATTGATTGTCAATATCATGAAGTTCGGGCATGTCCACGTTCTCAGTTTCATCTTGAAATGATTCATTGGAATCTGATCTAGCTGGCATTCCACGCTTTGGTGTAATGTGTGTAGTGTTTCCGCTCGCAAGTTGGTGTTCGATTCCCTTGCGAATAATATCGACCCACTTCTTGAATTCATCAGGTCCTCTTGCCTGAAGCACAAGAGGTTTTTGACTCATTGGACTGTGAACTTCAAAACAAAAACGAGGACCTCCCTTTGTCCCTTCTTTTACGGTGCACAAGACGACATCACACATCTTTACCCGTTCTAGAGTATTAGAGTATGAAAATCCTTCGTTCCCTTTTTTACTCTCGTCGTTACTTTTGAAGTAGTAAATTCCAACTGCATCCATCATGAACCATCTCTTTCTCCATTCTTTCAGTGATATTATTTTGTCACTCTTTCTGTATAGCCATCCTTCTACAAAAATGCCAGGCGTGGGATCACGCTGAAGTCGAGTAGAATCGGCCAGTAAATTTGGTAGTTCCCATATTTTGACCTGATCTTCTATTTGTTGAAGACTTGTTACTTGCCTTTCAATCATATCCTTATCACCATTAGAGATGGCATCAACGATTATGCCAGCGCTCCTAGTAACCTCCTTCAATCCATCGATAGTTCCTTTAATATCTTCTTCTCTTGCTTTCCAGGACGGTCCAAGCCGATTTTCAAGTGTATCCCTTGCAGAAGATTGATCAACTTGGAAACGAGTCATTGTGGGCACAAGACCAGTCACAAGATCAGAGCAATGATGAAAATATGCTCTAACACCATGCAAGGAAGTCAAAACATGTTCACCTATTTCAAATTTTCTTCTTTGTTTGTGTGCAACGATATGTTTCAAGAGCTGGAAGCGTTTGAGTTCAGCCGTAGCTTGCGCCAATCGGACTTGTTCAAGCGTCAATCTCATATTTGCCGCTGTAGCCGCCATCCTTACAACGGGATCTTCAGATTCAGACTTTTGTCGAGACTGATTCTTGCCATTGTTAGAAAATCGCGAGAGAAAGCCACTGCCCTGATTGTCCACCTGCTCACTAAACTTGTTCCAGGATTCGGTACCTCCGTCTTCAGCGAGGGCGGTAGCATGTCTTCCATTAAGATATTTTGCTAACATGTCATCGGCAGACTCCGTCGCTTGTTCCGCATTTCTCTTCAAGTCAATTGCTACGCTTTGTTCAGTTCTTAATTTTCAAATAACGTTTTATTTTTTCAAAAGAAAGTTGTAAGTAACATAATGCCACCACTTTGCCAATAAATCGACGTGTTAGGGCATCAACAAATCAATCAAAGCGTGGTGATTTGCGAACTAACCTAGCAAAATGTTCCAATGCGTTGACCATAGTGGCTTCGAAAGATCGAGTCATGTCCATTTGCGCTTCGGCAACTTCCTCAAGCATCTATATGGATTTTTGAAGAGAAAAATTGAGTTGCCATTGCTTATCCATGTAGAAAAGTCATACTATTTTCAGTGTCAATACGTCGTTCCACTTACACCTGACATAACCGCCAAAAGACTAGCCATATCTTCTCCAATTGCTCTTCTCCGTTCGGCAACTTCCATTTCTCGACGGCGCTCTGCGTAATCAAAATCCTCTTCGTCTGCATACCGTGGCTGACGAAGTTGGCACGCAAGAGCCAAACGCCGTGTCGATTGTGCCATGAGAGAACCACATTTTCCGAATGTTTTTGTTCTGGCCGCAATATCATTCAAAGTTTGACGCATAATTTCCATCGATTTCATTTCGTTCTCAACATATGACAAGAAATAAGGAGAATCAGCACTAAAGCTATTTTGAACATTAGCGTTGAATTTCTTCGCGTTTGCATTGTCCTTGGTAGGCTTGACTCTCGCCGAGCTAGATTTAATCATATGTTTTCGTTTCGCTTCAACTCCCGAACTTGCTGGTGGCAATCCACCGAGTTCATCTTCATTCTTTGTTGGTTCTTCTGTCGACATGATCGATATTGATTGAACGTCGATATCTATGAAATCTAAATATGTACCGCTAGCGTCTCATTCACCGAGCTGCGAATTGTTGTATTTATTGTCGGGTTGCAGACAAATAAAGGGAGGCTGTTGCTTTCTATCAATGTATGAAATTGGCAAAAGGTAAATGGTAATTTTAATTTTCCTTTTTCCGATTGCTTCCGGGGGGACCTTCAATGTCTATGATGCCGTGCTCGAAACTACAGAATCGCAACTTGCGATTTCATCTAATTCAACGATCGGCGTGTTCGATGATAGTAAGCATTTGCTGCTCAAGCAGAGGAGTTTCCCTATCGTTGTTGAACCAGATGAATTGAGCCTCATTTTCTCTCCCAAGAAGACGTTGACAAAAATAAAGGGTCATTAAAACGATATAAGCCTAATTATTAAAATTAGTACGAAGTGCTGTATTTAGCACTGTACTACTGTACTGTACTATTTACAACTTATTTTATACTGTACTATCTACTATACATATTATCCATATGAACTACCGAGTTTTGAGAAAACGAGATTTTCAGGTTTCGAAACGAAACTTTGTTCAAAATTTAGATGAGAGAGTTCAGAGAACCCATGTAATCAAACTCAACCGAAACCACGTTACAATAATCTCTCCCAGCCCGATACTTGACATCTTTTTAAATAAATCGAGTCATAAACCAGAGTACAAGCAAGAAACGAAGAGGGCTCAAGACGATTGTAAACTTGTCACCTACCTCAATCATGACTACGGTGTTGTCTCGGAAAGATTCAAGTATCTGCATCCATGCAAAAGGAACGAAAACAAACCGATCAGGTTCCATGTAAATAAAAATCCACACAGAACACGTCTTTAGCATAAAAAAAGGATTGATTAATATGACATCTCGAGTGTACATCTACTATTGTAGTTTATTTCCCATTTTCATTTTTGCCTCGGATGCAATTGGAATGCAGTGCGCAAGTCGCCCATATTTCGCTACAGTATTGGACGAATTGATCAATTATTTTCAGTTCATTTCAAAAATACTGTAGTGAATGGCGTTGAAACTTTTGAGATTTTGTCATCCCGTACTTTACATCGTTTATTAAAAAATCATCAATCTTGATGTACTCGGGGTCGTCTTGCAGCGCGTCGCTGACGCTCTCTGCGCTTCCAAAAATGGTTTCCAGCGGCGACGATAGCTGCACTTTGTAGCAATGACGAGACTAGGATCATGTCCATTGAACATTTTCCTCCGTTTACTTCATCGAACAGGAACTCAGCATTCGCTTTGTACAGGTGCTCAAAGCACCCATATTCTTGGTTTGGCATGCACAGGATCTTTTTAGGCCACGTCCCAGAACTCATTGCAGCACGGTCCCAAATCAAGAACCAATTTTTGGCTGGCTCAAGGATGGATCTTTGCAATTTGCGAAGAAACCGAGTGAATTGATCATCTTCGTTTAAACTTCTACTTCCCAAGACTCCGTAGCATCCTGAAGAATCCCCAAAAAAGGCGCGAAGGAGCCCTAATGACACAAGGGCAAGACCGAGTGTGAGAAGCACAATCACAATCTCATAGGTTCTGCCTCGAAGGTCCAAACCAAAGCTCTTTTTCAACGCGGTTGCGATTCCACCTCCAAGGATTGCCATGACATAGAACGAGAGCGGAATAAAAGAAAACCCAAGGTCATAAACGAGTGGGTCCCTTAAAATTCCGGGAAAGGCTAGCAGTGTGGCGATTCCGTATACTATCACAGAAGAGTACCATCGGCTGGGTTTGTAGCACACGTGTTTATGTACAATGTGCCAGGACACATTTTGGCACTGTCGGGAACAATAGTAACTTCTGAGGCATCGAACACATTTCCATCTCGCTCGGCGTCGGCAGAGACTACATGCCCACCGTCGACGTGCCACTCCTTTCTTTTTCAGTAATCTGCGTGCACGGCAGTACAAAGCGACAATCGGGGACATGACCACGGGAGCGATTGGACGCAGCCATCGTTTGCGCACAATAGCCGCTCCGATCTGCCACCAAATATGGGGTTGTCTCAATGCTTCGATAACATGCGGAGGCATGGCCTCTAACCAATCGTCGTTGTCTACCGGGCGGACCGACGGTGGCGGAAGTGCGTATGGCTTTCCACAAGTCTCACAGTTCAAACCCCGGCGTGCTTTTGGGTGACGGGAGCGGCATCTCCATTGTTCTATACAAAGATAGTGCACGAATGCCATGGATCCTGCACATTCGCAGGGCGATATCAAAGGATTCTCTGCTGCGTGAGAATTTGGGTGATATACCGGGTGGGGCTCTACCGGTCCCTGGGTTTTCACAGGCCGGATGCGTTGGGTACTGCCTTCGTTTGGCGGAAAGTCGGAAGGACATGGCATACATTGTACTTGTGTCTCATCGATTTCATTGGCTATGGTGTTAGAGGGTTGTTCGTCGTCTGCATCGTCGTGCAATCCCTCTCTACAGATTCGGCAAAAAATACCCTCCGTTGGAAGAGGTGCAGAACTCACTGCAGGCGATAAGCCATCGTCATACATGCTCATTAGCTTCATGTAACCAGAGGATGGGAATTCGATCCCCGTTCGCAGACAAAATGCAGAAATGGATTCATAGGGTTCGGACGACAAGGCACTCGCATTGTCTTGCAGTTCGTCGTCTCTGTTTCCGTCTTCGTTAGCATCGTCTTTTTCCTCCTCTGCGTCAATGGATGACGATACGTCTCCGATGTGTTGTTGGGATGGTCCGGTGTCTGATTCTTCTTGGGTTCGAGAACCATGAGAAGTACCACCCTCGCCTTCTAATTCTTTTTCGGAAGCGGGCAGCTTGGCAGTCTCTGTTTTTGGAAAAATAGAAAGTTGCATTGGGAGGGATTGAGATAAAGAGTGATCAAAATGTCCAACCACAAGATCGGAGCATACAAGCGGCAACTCAAGGTTTCATTGTGCATTCGAGATTGCCATATCATCAAAACCACGACAAAATTCAAAGAGCGCTCGCACGCACACACACGCAGCAAACACAAAACATCATCACATACCTCGCAGCTGCAGGGCGTCTATAACATGCTGACTGAAGACTGTTTCGTTAACTTTTCCAAGTGCCACGTATCCTGCAAACCCACCCTTGGAACCTGGCCACCGCAGCCGAAGCCAGTGCCTCTCGTACGCGATGCAAACATCGTCTACCAGAACAACTTCAGCGTGGCGAATTCTCCTCACGGGTAAACCGAATTTCAGTGAAGCAACGTGTTGCTGCTGATTGTCCGCCCTAGATGTATCTTGCCCCGCGTTTCCACCTTCTACCGAACCCGTAGTTTCGGCCGTCTGGGGAAGCGTTCTTTCGATGTTCGCACCTTCTATCTCCCTCCTCTGCACCAGGCGTATGAGATTGTCGTTGTTGTTTCTTTCTGCTTCCCTTTGCGCCGCAGCTTCGGTAGACGTGGGCACCATACGGGGAGCTATGGTCACCTTATTGTGTTCCTCGTGAGAATCGTCCGAGGGTGCGTCCGCCAGTGCAAACGGAGCGGCGTAGACCTGGAGTCCATGTCGCCAGGGTTCGGAGGAATTCACCCCGGCCTGGCAAATGTATACCGGCATTGCTGGAGCGTCGTTTTAAATAGAATGCTGCCTTTCCAATCAGAGGAGTTGGGTAAGTAATCTAAATTTCAGCTACCTTGCGAATCGCGAATTCTCGTAGTCCTTTGATTTATTTTTTCTGGGGACTAGGTTGTGTTACACAGGTAAAAGTATCTGCGGCGTGCGTCGAGAAGCAATTTTTATTTTGATCACAGAGTTTCTCTCACCATGCCTGTGACCCTGTTATTCTCTATAACAAGGATAATGGGAAAAGCTATGATGATACACAATGTGCAAAGCGAATCGCAAAGACAGGGGCGAGTAGTGTCTCAACAATCGAGTCTCGAGAAGCGGACACTCCTTATTTTCTCCGTGCCGCGTTTCAAAACAATTAAAAACAAGATGAACCCCTGCTCAGACAGGTGCCACGGTGCGTCGATGATACCAAAAAGTGCACATGATGTGGTTCCTTTTTAAAAAACAATACAGTAACTCGTTTCTCTCCGCGCGAAAGTGCGAGTACGGTACCGTAGTCGGCGGAGAGTCGCAGCAACGACCGCCTGTGCGGCAGAATACATAGTACGAGTACTACTAGTAGTACCGCTACTACTACTGCTACTACTACTGCTACTAGTACTACTACTGCTACTACTACTACTACTACTACTACTACTACTACTACTACTACTAGTAATAATACTGACAGCGCCTACATTTTTGTTGTTGTTGTTGTTCTTCTTCTTCTTCTTCTTCTTCTTCTTCTTCTTCTGCTGGTGGTGGTGGTGTACGACAGTACAAATTCTTGTACTAATATACAGTATGCAACTTACAACTATGACTTCTTACTACTTCGACCACTACTACTACTACTACTACTACTACTACTACTACTACTACTACTACTACTACTACTACTACGTAATAGTAATAGTAATAGTAATAATGGGTGATTCCTGTTATTCTAAATCTATAAAGAAGCTCTAAATCTAGGGATCTAGAATAACGGGAATCAAAACATTCAACGGACAGACTGAGAGGACGTGGGCTCAATGCTAGTCTTTTCCGGAATTTGGAATCTTATGTAATGACTAAAAAGAGGCACATGAAGGAACACACACATTTTCGATAAGTGTGTTAAGTCTTTCAAGTGACTGGAAAATTATTTTATTCATGGGTTCCACTCTAAATCTAGAATTTTAGGACTGGTCGGTTTGACCAGTTCTAAATGTGCTAAATCTAGAGTAAAAATCTCTATATTTTGATAGACTGACAGACCAAAAATTTAGAGATTTAGAATAACGGGAATCACCCACCAATAAGAACAACAACATTAGTTATTATATCGCTGTAGGACCAGGATCAAGTACTTTTCTACACATATGGTAGTACCATTTGGTCCTGGACCACACCTCCTTAAATAACACACCAAAGTAACACATTTTCTTATTACTAGTGTGACGCATTGTGTGACACAACACACTGCAAGAACCGCACATCACACTCACATCGTTACTGCATGGTGAAACAGAACAAAAAAAATGACAACTCAAAGCTTCAAACTGACCATTGGAACTGCAATATCTCAATAAGCAGAGCATGCTAGACCACCAAGTCCATGGTACCGTTACATAGCTATCACTCTCCTTAGTAAGTTCACAAAATATTGTTCTGGTTGTACAAGAAATCATCTCTTTATAACTACTACAAACTGGAGGCAACAGGGACAACAAAATGGTGGAATGGTCCAAATTGTTTTGGCGTCCGAAACGATATGAAGTGGTCACTCCCTGCTAAAACCAAATAGACAGTTGGAAAGAGCACCATCAAATTGAGCTCCCCATCTCTTGGCTTGGTCATTTTCCGAGTTTTGGTTCAGGAATTAGGCAAGGCAGTGTGCTTGTTGGGTATTGCACTCAAAAATGGTGGAATGGTCCAATTATTTTGTTTTTGTCTGAAACTATAGGAAGGAGTCACTCCCTGTCAAAACCAAGTAGACGAATCGAAAGAGCACCATCAAATTGAGCTCCTCATCTCTTGGCTTGGTCATTGTCCAAGTTTTGGTTCAGAAGTTATGACACTTGCACTGGAAGCGGGACAACAACAAAATGGTGGAATGGTCCAAATTTTTTGGCGTCCAAAACTATAGGAAGGAGCCATCCCCTGCCAAAACCAACCAGACAAATCAAAAGAGTACCATCAAATTGAGCTCCCTATGTCTTGGTTTGGTATTGTCTGAGTTTTGGTTCAGGAATTATGCCACTTGCACTGGAAGCAGGACAACAACAAAATGGAATGGTCCAAATATTTTTGGTGTCTTAAACTATAGGAAAAGCCATCCCCTGCCAAAATCAAGTAGACGGTTGGAAAGAGCACCATCAAATTGGGCTTCCCCCCATCTCTTGGTTTTGTCATTGTCCGAGTTTTGGTTCAGGAGTTATGTTGAAAAGGGTCATCTTTGGTGAGGAGACTGCTATATCTTTTCATTTTTCTCACATGGCGCATCTTTCACATTGTTTCTTCCATCCACACATAAGCTACTGGTATGTCATCTAACTTTGTACAGGATGCAATGCCCAAGGGCACTTGCTCATCTACTTGTCAGACATGGAATGCTTTGTCCAAGATAAAGCCAAAGAAGAAGAGTAGACCAAGGCGATCTTGGCAATGATGTGACAAAAGTATCCAGGTTGTGAAATTTGAAAAGAGCMAAGATATCACAGACTCGTCTTGAAAAAAATCATGATAACTGATTGGAATCAAGGCAAGTCCATAGAAGAGGACGCTTTTGCTGCTGACAATGAATCCATCTCAATTGATGATTATTTGACCATTGCTAGTCAGGATCAAAGACATTGTCTGGTGTTGCTGGATAGTGTTGACAAATCAATCCATACATTTGCCACCAAGGTCTCCAGAAATAAAGCTCTGCGCAACTTGGCCTCAACAAAAAATATTGAATCTGTCCAGAAATTCTCAAACAACATGATTCAATGGAAACCAACTATAAGAAAGAGGGGAGGAAAATGTGACAGTACAAATTCAGGGTATGCTGTCATAGGAGTCCATCCTGAAAGGACATCTTCCTGAATTGTTGATTGTGCATTGTTCAAGCCTAATGCTCCAAAGGAAAAATGTGAAGAACTTGAAACCGGAGCTGCTAATAGTATTCTAAAGATGCTCCAGGGAAGTATAACTCCTTTCAACAATTATTTACAGAAGGAGCATTCAATCATGAAGGAAACTGTGCAGCAGATGATATTGAACACAGTTGGAGAACATGCAACAGCATTTTCAATTGGTAAAGATTATCATTCTTGATGCCATACTGACCTGGACATGTACTACACACTATCAACTGTTGCGGCTCCATCGTGAGATCAGGACCATGAGGTCATCTATTACTTCACTTTTCCTACATAAAAAATCCAAATTCTGTAGCGGTCAGGTGACACATTGCTTTTCAACCCATCTATCCCACATAGTTGCAGCAATCCAAAAATGAAAGGCACATTCATTATGTCAGGGTATGTTAGTACAAGAACTGTGCTACAGTGCAATCCTCTATAATATTCTAGAACAATTTGTTTTTGAAAGGGTCATGTTGTAATGACATGACCTTTCCCCTCTGGTTAGAATGTTCACTGAAACATTCCGCATTTGGTGGGGGAGGAGCTAGCTACCTGTTTCAACCTAGTGTTGTTATGGCTTAAAGTTCTGTCCTCAGAGAGCCTCACAGTTCCCAATTGCAAAGTGTGCTCTTATTTGCAGCCCCTGTGTAAACTCATGTTGCACAATATTGCTCAAGCAATAACCAAAATACTAATATGTCAGACAACTAATCACTGCAACCTGGTTCTGTGATTGACACCTTCAAGTTTATGCACAGTGCAGTTTGTGCACTGTGTGGTTTGTGGTTTGCGGTCTTTGCACAGTGCATTTGGGTTTTGCGGTTTAGGTTTTTTGCGGTTGTTTTTTTTT